ATTTTATAGTTATATAACCCAGCAAACCCCAATGAGATCACAGCTCTCTTTTGAAAGGGCAGCCTGGGCCTGAAGGCAACCTGTTGTATAGGTTTTTGTGCTGTGGGGGAAACTGGAGCACCCAGAGAAAACCCATGCAAGCAAAAGGAAAATGTGCAAATTCTGCACCAAAAATTCCCATGTGAAAACCAGGGGTCAAACCCAGGACCTTCATGCTGTGAGGCATCAGCCATCATGCTGCACAACTAATCTGTTGTGGATTAACACCTACCTGTTCCCCAGTGTGAAGTGACAGCATGTCTTTGGTAAAGCAATGAGCCATGTGCACTTGATAGTGATAGTGTGTCACACATAAAACACATCATCACAGGGAAAGAGCAAAGAGACAAATATTCATTGACAGTTGCACACGAGGACCTCATTGGACAGAGCTGTATTTTTCTGCTTGTGTTAATTTGGACTCACAGAAACTCCATTAGAGGAAATTTTTACACAAATATTTTATTTCAACAGCCATGAATTGAGTGTAAAAATATAAAAAATGACAAACAGTCATTAGTGAAAACAAAACAAAATCCCTTTTCAGTCACTAACATTTTCAAAACAGGAAAAGGAAATATGTGCTCTTCATCTAACTGGGTGTAATATCAGAACCACTCTGCATGTTGCAAGGTTTAAAAAAGATTCAGCAAATAATTTGTTACAGCCATAAAAAACAWTGCAAAAATATATTTTACGCATAAAACAAAATGAAAAATTAAAATGCCCAATATTTACACACAACCTTTGGCTTTTATATCAACGGTTGTGTTCAAACAACAAAACTCAGTGTTTGAAACTCAGACTGCTCACAATTCTTCAGCCTTCATTCAAAATAGAAGCACTCTGCCTGAAAAATCTTTAAGTCAAGTATTTTTATGTTAGAAAAACAAATTGTTGCTGGCTCAAAAATGGTAAATATTTTTGACATCATCTCTGAAATATTGGAAAGATTGATGGCAGCAAAATTAATCCACAGGAATCTTGGTTATTTTGCTTATCTTGTCTTTCATCGACCATTTGCTCTTAAATAGTAATATCACCATGTTCAAAGTCTTCCACAATCAGAAACCAGGTTCAGTATGCACTCCTCCCTCGGTTTAAACGGGGGTCTTGCCCCCTGTTGACAGGTTTGAAGCTCCCTGTTTGTTGTGAGCTCCAGAGATCCAGTGGTAACAGTTTGGGCTATTTTTGTTTCTAGGCTTGACTGCACAGCGGGTGCAGTAGACGATTCCCAGAGCCACCATGACCACAACAAAGATACAGATAGGCACAAGCAGACCCACCAGAAGCCCGACGCTGTTTTGTTTCTGCACCTCGTTGTCCGCTCCACCCCTCCCACTCTCTCCCACAGGGGGCTGGGATGTGGTGGACTGGAGGGGAACAGCAGGGCCTTGAGTGCGAGAAAATTCCACATAACTCTTGTTGTTTTCAGACTCCTCTGGGAACTGAGAGAATTCCCTTTGAAGGGGCTTTTCTTCAGCTTGTTTATGTGTGCATAACTCAGCAGACCCTTTGGTTGGAGTTACATCTTGATTTTCGGGACTTTGAGTGGATGTGACCAGTCCCGACCACCAATTCCAGGCTCCCTCAGAGATTGTAGAGGTGGAAGRTACTGTAAGAGCCGTAGTAGCCTCCTCATTGTCGTCTTTGTTCCAGTCTGATGTGGTGCTGTAGCTCGTGGTGGTTGAAGCAATTACTTCTAAATCAAAAGAATGTTCATTTTGTGAAATCACACCCAAATCCAAACCCCCCTGTGCTTCAATAAGCCAGTCGTTGGTCTGTTCTTCCTCTGAAGGTAAGGGAGTGATTGAGTCTGGGTTCCAGGCGTAGTGTACAACATCCCAGTCAAACTCAGGTTGATGGGTGGCAATGGATATGTAGTCATCTCCTTCTATCTTCTGACATGTGTATTGATCAGACATTAGTTCGTAGCCTTCCTTACAATAACATTCAAAACCACCATCATAATTTGCACACATCTGGTCACAGATGCCAGCATTCTGACAGTCATCAACATCTTGGCATCGTCTRGGGTCTTGAGGGTCAACTGCAAAGCCCTGATCACAGAGGCAGATATGAGACCCTGGTGTGTTTTCACAAATATGTTCACACGGGTACTTGGCACACTCATCTACATCCTTACACTCACCCACGTCATTTAAAAGATAACCATCCCGACACTGACATTCGAACGAACCTGGACCATTCATACAAATCTGCTCACAAGGGCTCTGAATACATTCATCTACATCCAGACAACCATGTCCATCTGGTGCCAGCATGTATCCATCAGGACAGGCACAGCGGTAGCCATCAGGAAGCGGCAAGCACTCATACTCACAGGGGAACCCTACGCAATCATTGTTACGCTCACAGGTCTGTCCATCGTTTCCTAGATGATAATCATTAGCACATTCACAGAAGACTTGACCATCGATATTCTGGCAGAAGTGCTCACACCCACCGTTGTTTTGGTCACATGGGTTCTGTGCTGCAGGTAGATCAGAGCAAAGAGGGGGTTCACGTGACCATCCCACTGAGCCATCCCTCAGTGTACACAGAATGGGGGACCAGTCCTCATTGTTATCTGTTGGGCAAAGTATAGTAGCCACAGATCCCAACGGTACATGAGTTAGTATGCTGCTCACAAGGTTAAATGGCGTGGTATAAACAGCATTGTCTGCTCCCTCACTCCACAAGGCAGAACACATTCCTCCATAAGCAAAATGGCAAAGATATCCATCTACAGGGACAGTGCACGAACTATCCAGCCACTTGAAGTTATCATTCTGTTCTTGAATGCTGTAGCCCATAAGTATGCAGCGAGGTGCCGAACACATACTGGGAGAATCCTCTCTTTGCCAGTTTGTGTACTCTGTGTCTTGGTCTCCAGTAGTCCAAGAGTAACCCCTCAGTGGACGGCTATTGCACTGACGAGGTTGACGCTGAAGACCAATCCAGACTTGGACTTTGGTGCGGGACTGCCTCAAGTCCAGAGTGGAGAAGAGTGTAGCGATGGCACCGGCATCCTCTTTATGTTTGATAACAGCTAGATTCCCACCTTTTTCCTTGCAGCTCCTCCATGAGTCTAGGAAGATTTTGCGCTCAAAGTAGACCACAAAACAGCCGTCTGCATTGCACAGTGCATCTGTCTCTCTCAGGTTCTGGCCCAAGACTGAGGAAAATCCCAAAATCCATGTTGACAGGAAGGATAAGAGCAGAACGGCTGATCTGCTGAGCAGAAAGTCCATTTTTTTCTCTGAGCAGGTTATAAACTCCCAGGTCTGTCAGTATCCACACCCTGACTTTCTTCTCACTTTTCTCTTTCTGCTTCTCTCTCTGAACAACAGTCACTGCTTCTTTCTCCTCATCAAACCTTTGCTCCTAAATCTGAAGCTTCAGTTTTGATATTTCTTCTCAGCTACTCTATTCTGCTGAAACTTATCTGCACTGGAGCTGCGACCATGAAAACTGTCCCACGATTCCAGAGAGCACAGAGGGAGGGCAGACGGGGGGAGGGGGCTGGAGGTAGTGAGATACAGCAGAGAGTGTGGAGGCAGGAAAAAAGAGAGAGGGGAAGGGAATATAACAAAATAGCAGTATGTTTTTGGAAGAAGTGTGTGTGTGTGTGTGTGTGTGTGTGTGTGTGTGTGTGTGTGTGTGTGTGTGTGTGTGTGTGTGTGTGTGTGTGAACATTATATGAATGTGTGTGTCTGTGTGACAGTGGGGGAAGGAGCACCAAACTGCAGAGCTTTGGTTCTCAGAGTGAGACATGTGGTTTTCATAAGTTCTGTGCATGGACAAAGTTTACTTTTCTGACATTTGTCTACACACACACACACACACACACACACACACACAC